ATTTAAAGTTGTGAGGCACTGCAACTCTGTATCGTAAAAAGTCACAACTGTAAAATGACAAATTTTCAGGTAATTGCTGCTAAAATAGCGAGAGTTTTAAAATGTCGTAATTTGTTATTTTTATGACTTCGATGTGATAAAAGCACTTTTGATATGTGACTTTATTATACCAGGCCTTACCAGGGGCACGAAATATGGAGAGAGAAAAAGAGAGTCAAAGAGTGATATCACACAGATACACGACGCAAAATAAAAAATTTCAAATTTCGTTAAACGTGTTGTAAAACTTGTGTAAATAAATATTTTACCTGCTCATGTCGATGAGACTCGAATCAAGTTTCAAAATGTATTATGAATGAGATGAAAAAAATTGTTGATTCAGACTTTCTACAAGTCTGTCTGGATTTTTTCACATAACAATATTTGCAAGTTGATAATCATACGAAGTAGCGGCGCAGGGCGGGCCATGCCTGGAACTCAAAATTGTCTAAGACTTTATTCTCTAACTGAACATGTATACATCTCTATTTCATAGGTAGCCAAATTACACTTCAAATCGGTACATTTGATTAAACTCCACTACTCATTGGTAAGATAGATTTTCCTGAGAACAATGAGACATTTATACATATTAATTTCAAATATCTTTTTTTATAACAAGTGAATGATGGGACGAACAAGTTGTGCGCTTGGTGTTACCGACCTGTGTGTAGTAGTTGCAGTGCCACTCGGAGCTTTAAAGCGTCGGGTAAATGCGTGTCTTTTGTTGTATACAAGCAACCGGCAAATAGAAGCGAACATTCTATTGCGGTCGCGGCAACCGGCGACTGTGTCGATTTCATAGCAATTGTATCCAACACAAGCCACGTTTGCGCGGCGCCTTGATCGCAAAGAACTGAGGGACACTGACAGAAGTTGACAAGTCCCACGTGCCTGTAATTTCTCCATTAATCTTCAAATCGGAACGTAATGCTTCCATTGCTACGTGGCGGTGTAGAAATAGGTAAGGTAGCAGTACTTCCCTGAACAAATTCTTTCAAACCTTTAGCTCCGTTGAGACAGAAACTGAATGAGCTGAACGTCATTACTATGACCTTTAGTATAAAGTAGTTTGAACTCTCGTAAATGGCAAATTTTGAATTTATATTTCTAGAAGTATATATTGGTACCTTCAATTGCCTTCCACATCAGTTTATCTTAGTCAAATATCCATCCATTGCCAGTATTACAAAGTATTTATAATTAATACTAAGTATTTATTTGTAATTAATATGCGACCCAGAAGTTGAACAGACAAGACAATAATAGACCATTCAATAAGCTGCAAAATAATTTTATGACCAGTTATAGAAGTAAAGTAGTTATCGTAGTACATTCTCAATGTAACGAAGCAACATTGTTTTCTCAAGTAAGCGTAGGAAAAACAAAGTTACTATAGTATACTACCTCTAGTAAAGCCTTTAGTTATATCGGTGCGTTGTCTTTGGAATTTGTGTATGTATTGTCACTTACAACACCAATTATTATTTACACGTCGTAATGTCCGGTCCGACATATTAGGCGATCCATTCATTAGCCAACACGTTCCCCTTGTTAGTCAAAATAATGGTAAGGAATGTCAACTTAACGACCGAATTCGACTTGTCAACTGACGTTTTGTATCAAAAAGTCAGATGACATTTTGTTTTATAGGCCCCACATAGATTGGGTAAAAATTGTAAGAATACAATATGGTAATAAAGCAAGATTACGTGAGTAATGTAATGGTTGGCTATGTCTAATAATACATAATGTATTATGCTTCATTGTTAAAAATACCTTCCGGCGTTTAGCGTTCGAATTTGCAGTTTAAATATGTAAGAGTAATTTCGAATCACAATTGTAAAATTGCAGGATTGCTACAAATTGGAACGTCAACTGGCCGTTGACAGCACTGCCATTGCACTTGTAGCTGTAATTGTTTTGCAATTGCAATGCCGTCGGCTGTTAATAACTAATTTTTTTGCTACCCCTATGAATAGAATAGAATATGTTGTAGAATAGAGACGACACCTCTGCCCAGCAGGGGTCTCATCTCAGGCGAGGGTTTAGGCCATAGTCCGCCACGCTGGCCCAATGCGGGTTGGGGACTTCACACGTCATCCGAGGGTTGTGAACCTACTGCTACATGCCGGTTTCATCACCGAAATGCTAGTTTATTAAATTTCGCACATAAATTCTGAAAAACTCGAAGGAGTGAGTTCGTCGAGTTTAGAAGTAAATAATAACGAAAAATCATGCGCAATATACCTATTCGTATGTTTATCAGAAACAAACCAATAATTTATAATTGAGCCAGCCGCTGTGTCATTAGCAGCCGGTTGAACTTGTACTATGTAATCTTTATTTGTTTCTGTGTTTTTCAATCACTTCCTATTTAGCTATAATACACTATGTACTCAGGTTCATAACTAGATTTTTTTAATATTAAAACCAAGAGCCTTGATAGAATTTTATTACATTGAAACCTTGTGAGGATTATTCGTTTTTTATTGAAAATATTTACATAACACAATATGGTAAAATGATAGATAGATAAATTGAAAAGATAGAAGTTTATAATAATTGAAACTATAGGAACGTTACTTAAAAATGAGAAAGCAAACTTGTCTGATAATCTAAAACGGATTTATACATAAGTAGCCACATACGGTAAACGGCCTAGTGATGATAGAACGGTTGTAGACATATCGTGCCTCAACTGCCGCATTTGAAACTTTTGTCGTATTGCGTATGACGTATGACCTTACCTAGCTTTCAAAAGCGAACATTCTCCGTTGTAAAGGAACTTACACAACAAATATAATAATATCCGATAACGGAACGAATAACTCGTGCGTCTGGTGGCAAGCGACACCCGTACCCATAACACTTGCAGTGCCATTATTCAGTCTTATTAATTGCAATGATCTGAGGAGCACGGTCACTGCACCCATCACCCTGAGACAAAGGCAACGAGTCCTTTGTGCTTGAAGTTTGGATAGCTGCTATGCTGATACACGACTGACACGAACAACGGCTAAAGATCTAAAGTGCTTAACGGAAAATACGTTTCTTTTTTCCTTCTAGTGCCTTCCTCATCCAATTTTTCAGTCCAGCGCATCGATTGTTTACCTACACTTTTGCACCTTTCTTTGGGACTCTACTCAAGCACAATTCTACACCTTTTACATGGTCTTGTAAACGGCGTATAATTGGCAGAAGGCACGCAATATATTCTGCCCAGGAGACGATGTCGATTTCGTACTCTGGGACTCGGAAACTCGGGACTTATTTAAAGAGCTGCGATCATCGCTTTAGGTCGTGGTTGGTTCAGCAGTCATCTATTGCCATCCGGCGAGGCAATGCTGTTAGTATAATGGAAACTTTTGAGCAGGGAGTTAGGTTACGAATTTTTGACGAAATCTCTTTTAATTGCCGATTTTATAGCCCTTTTCTGGTCCTAGATTGGCACAAAAATGAGCGATAATTAATATTCCAAATTTATCCACCTTATTGTTTTATGAAATATCATGAATTCTTTTTGTAAGATATGGATCTGGACCCCGATTCAGAATTCTTTGATATTTTAACCGAACCATTCGATTGGATAGGTATTGTTCTCGAATCGAAGGGCGCCTTCCGAACTATTCCGAACATTCCGAGTTAAACTAGATTCGGATACGATATCATTATCCAACAGCATTTACGGAGTTAGTCGGCGAAATAGATTACAAGAAAAATGAAATCCTTTTACATACAATTTTAAGAGTTTAAAGGCCTAAAATATAGGCTTGCATTAAAATAAATTAATAAAATTTAACGAAATCCAGACTTTAAAATAATAAGAAAATTCCATATTACATTCTTGCTTTGTAAACAATAGGACGTTCGGTAACTTTGCCTTTGCCGGTCGAGAAGTTTGAGTAATCGTACGGGTGTGACGTCATTTCGGTTCGGTTTCGAATACGACAGTTTTACGTTCGATTCGGGTGTTGTGAATAATAAAGAAAACAAATCGATCGACAACTGAGTTATCATAAAGTTCTGAATCGACCTCCTGGGAGCCTACCACAACCTCTTAAAACAATATTATTTTTACCTTAAATTGACTTTTCGTATCGTAACGCGCTTAAAGTAAGCTTATTGTAATGTTAAAACTATGATGTTTTATTGGCAGCTTTGTGACTATTAATTCACTCAGTTCGTACTATGAAGCGACTTTAACATTAAAATAATATTGCTCTTATGTAAAATTTAGCAATCTTAAAATAATGACACGGATGCAATTGAAACAATATTATTTTCAGTTTTATTGTCTTAATATTGATTTGTAATGATTAAAAGTTAAGTTGAACTTATTTATTTACGTATACTATATCACAAAAATACACGATGTTTATTTTGTAAAATTATAACAGCGCCATCTATATGCTCCTTGGCGAAACTAACAGTTGACACTAGACTTTGGTTCCGAATTCACGACGTGACTATCATGACTCAGCTTTTTTATTTATTTTTTTTTGATGGAAATGCGGAATAATTATTGAAAACAACGTAATATTAATAGATTTTATTATTATATTTCTCATCTTTTCTTTTTTTAACAGTCAAAATTCTCTGAATGTAAATAACATTACGTACTTAACATTATACTACAATAAGACGATTTGGAACATCAAAAAAGAAAGAGATGGCATTATATAGTTCGCATAGCGTTATGTCTTTCCTATTTTTAGTAAGGAATAGACAATATTGGGAAATCATTCGTTCTTTCAGTCACTTTAGCAACGAATATGAGTAATATTATAATAAGCTTACTTTAAGCTTACATTGAAATAAGATTGTTTTTGGAAAGGTTATGGTAGGTTATGGAAGGTATGGTGAGATATAGCTTCACTTGTTACGTCATGCCGGGGAGCATGCTATTAGGCAAATAGATTATGTGATTCGTATTCTAACTCCATTTACATTGTTCACAGATTCGTGAAACCAGATGAAGTGGCCAAATTGTGGGGCAGACTGAAGCAGAATGACAACATGACCTTTGAAAAGTTCAGCCGGGCCATGAGGTACCACTACAGACAATCGGTCCTAGTCTCAGTGCCGACCGCCCGTCTCGTATACCAATTTGGTCACAAGGGTCCTGACTTTAAAACCGACAATCCCAACTTCCTCAAAGTCAAATCTGAATTAGATACGTACGATATTTACTCCTAGTTATACTTAAATTATTATTAGGTTAGCTTTAAATGTCGTTAATTAATGTTTTAAATATTTATACCGACTTCGTATGTTATATCGAGCTCTTTTGCATTTTAGTGAATGTACGAAACTGAATTACGTAAGAACAATTCGTGATTGAGTTTTTCAAAAGTGCAGTTGAAATTTTCGGTGCAGTTGTTGCACGTTGAATTAATTGTGATGCAACTGCGATGTAGTTGCAATATGGACTGCAAACAAAACAGTGTCTTTTTAAATCATTTATTTATACTCAATGTTTGTAATGGATCCAAATTACTTAAGACTACAACATGTCGGAGTAGATACCTACATTTTTTTGAAGTCGGTAAAGCTCACGAATGGCGGTGTTACGACTAAGTTAGTTATAGATAGTTAAAGTTTGGAATCTGTCTGGGGTTGTATTAAGATTAAATTTCGCTTGTCCAAACGGATCTAGTTTTACCAACCGGAGGGCGAATGATGTATTTAAGTCAGTAACGCCAAAATAGCAATGTCTTATTGGCTACTTTTGATATTTAAACATAGCGCCCTCTAGTGAAAGTGAAAGTTATTTCTCATTTTCTCGATCATAATACAGGTGAAAACACATTATTTTTACACCTTGTGTATGGTAGGAAGTAAATAATAGAGGTGCCAAATGTAGGTGTTTGTTGACTTTAAAAGCAATTTAAAATTAAATTGGGATTAAAATAATCTATATACCACCGTAGTCCTGCCATTTAGTTCAAATTGGACTACATGAGGTTTTTGTCGTTGTTGAATTCTAACTACTTATTTTTTGACAACGTCCTCTACACTGTTCCGTCTTGTTTCTATAATCGAACCAATAGAAAAATAATGGCAACATAGTCCAATTAGTAGGACTAACCGACAGGATTACGTAAGTGTATAACATCCGTATAGTGACCGGTGAAAAAAGAGCGAAATAGCGTAATAAATAAAACCTTTTCAACCACAAAAAAATTTCGGTCAACCGTAAGTGGTTGTAGGAAAGTCGAAAGTTGTTTTGACACGGAAAACAGATAGAGTTGTGGCAAGTCGATTATTCGTGTACCGATAAAATAGATAGGTGTTTTTCCGAATGTTATTATGAGTGTGATTAGCATAAGTTGATGTTCGTTCAAATATATTTAGTATTTCTTTTTAAATTACTTATGATTACCATTTTTTTTAGATTATTGTAATGTACTTTTTTTTAAACAAAAAAATAGATGTGATTATTCTACTGCTCAATTGAAGTCACAAACTAAAGCTACGCTAAATAGACATTTTAAATAAAAAATTATAATAATGGTAATAGTTCATGTAGTTAAAAACCTTTTAGTCCAATTTCAAATTTGTTTTAGAATTTAGTATAGTGTCGACATATTGGTACTTATGCACATGTTTAGTGAAACTCTAAAAAAGAGATCGATATCAAAAGACGACTGCAGTCATTCTTTTTTCAAATTAAACGTTCAGGAAGTCTACTACGACATACGATATTACATGACTGCGTTCGCAACGAAGCTCATAAGTACTACATATTATGTCAGTTTTACGATGAAAGTAATGTCAAAATTCGATACGAAAGTTGTCATTTAACGTTTCGGAGTGAGGATTTATGTCAAATCACGATCTTCGTATGCGTTTTGTGGTAACCTCCGGTCCGATAGAAGCTAAAACGATTAGCGTTGTTTCGTATTTCGTTGTAGACCTCCTGGTTTAGAAGTTGTTTATATTATCATAATTCAACCTTTTTTAGCATTTCTATAAGTGTCCATGAGTATGTATGAATATAAAAACGTATAACAGAGGCATCCAATAGCTTGAGTTTGTGTCTTCTACACAAAATGCGCCTTATTAACGGCCAGGGACAGACACTTTCTGATCTGAAAACTACAAAATTTCTTGTACCCATTATAGGCATATAGAGTTGTTAGATAGATGAACCTGGCCGAATTCGGAAAATGAATCGTATGCTTTAATTTTTTGTTGTGTGTAATTATAAGTGATTTAAAAATTAAGAACAAATTTAGATGGTTGTACGGTGTTGAATATTGTTGGTATGTCCCGTCAATTAACGGTGGTAATGTTTGAGGTCCTTGTCAAAGTGTCCATATTATTTTCTAAGTATTTTTCTGAAATCGTTCAATTTACGAAGAGATTCATCTAAGGAGTTTTTGATATAATATTTTCGATTGTTGTTACCATTTTTGTGGAAACTCTAGTGCATAGTCGAACAAAAGAAACATTCCGATTTTATTTATACGTAAACTGTAAGTTTTAGGTACTGTAAGTATTTTGAAGATGCCATAATTTTAGTTGGATAGTTAATGTACTTAATTTTATCTTATTTCATGAAAATGCAACAATGTTTGACGTTGGTGATACGCTCAATAGAGGTTACGAAGTCAGAATTAGCTTTTACCGCAGCGAGTCCAGTAAGTGATTGTCCTAATGCCGTGTAATTGGTCCGTTTGATTTTTCTGCTTTCCTTTCACGTTGATTAAAACGATGTGATTGGTTAGTTCGAATTTCTTATTCCATTCCCAAAGCGAAACGACTAGAGCGTACAAAAGGTGATGACTGATTGGTTATTGATAGTTTACAGGGCCAAGATTTTTTTAATCCTAAATTGAGCGCATCATTGCCTAATAATTTAACTGTAGCATAATAAGATGTCGTCCTGTACGAGTTTGATAATATGTTATTTATATTTATATTTTAAATTTCCTTCTCAGTGTTAATTAAAATAATATAGAAGATTAAAAGGCGCAAATGTGCAATAAAAAAAAAATGACAAAAAGTAAATGATCTGCAGGCCAAAGATTAGTTTCAAAAATGTCTTTTATTCGTAAGGTTGAGAAATGAAATAAATATAATTTTTCGACAATTTTATTGTAAGAAAGGTGTAACATATTTTTATTTTAACGTGAATACTGTGAAGAGATTTTCGAATAGTTTTTTATGGAAAAACTCGCAGCTCTCGTAACGATACCGGCAAAAGTGTGCGAAAACCGAAAAGCCGATTTTTTCATTACGCAGTTTTGGGTAGCCCTATTTTACTATTTGACTATCCCAATGATAGATCTACAGGCTGTCACAAATTTAAAGCAAACGAAAAAACGAAAATTTTTTTTTGTAAAACAATAAAAAATTTAAGTACATCCTTCATAGTATTTACAATGTTACCACATTTGTATTTTTAGAATTAAGTTTGGACTCTCAGGCAATTGCTGTGATGTAAGATATTATATTGAATGAATTTATTATTTCTGTATTATAAGAAAATCCTTTCATCTGTATTGTTAAGGCAATTGTAAAGTAAGTAAAGATAAGTATTATTGGTCACAATCCCTTAAGTTACCGTAATATTATCAATTATCACTAGCTACAGGTTTCTTATCACAGTATGATTCCATTCTAGACTGGCAAGCGGTAGTTGATAGCTTTTAGGACAGATATCTGCGCTCCTTGACATAAAAAAGAATTTTGTTAGATATGTTAGTTATGATACGGAAGGCAGGTATTATATTTTCTGTCATCTGATTGAGTCCAATTCGTATCAGGGGGTCTACTTTCGATCGCCGTCCCACATCCGTCCGAAACAATTACTGTCAAATAAGTAATATTCGACAAAATTAAAAGACAAGTATCAAGTATGAAGCTTCATTCGCATCACGCGTCTTTTCATTTGGTCAAGTATTGCTTATTTGGCAGTAATTGTTTCGGACGGATATCGGACGGAGATACAGAGTAGACCCCAGTTCCGAATCCGAGAAATGACGGTACGAAATGTCACAAGATCATTTTATCTCTAGGTCGGTATTTGTGCACAAGCGACATCCGAAGTGTGTCCGTTGTTTGCCCGAAGTTTTCTAGATGTGTACAGTCTCGGATTCGGAAAGAACACGAATCGGATGTAGTATGCGAAAGCGCTACATGTCTTCGTATACGTTTCTTACACTTCGTTGTCGACGACATTTCATTTCGACATCTTGCGGTGTTACCATTGTAACTTATATTTTCGCAACACAGTACTAACTGCAAATTGAAGTGGTAACATTTCTGTTTTATTATTGCTGTTCTAAACTTAAAGCACCGGATCCACGCACTTGTCCATGAAGCGTATATCCGCTCAACCATATCGGTTGAAGAATAAAAATTCAGAAGAAACCTGTGACTAATGACAATAGTTTAGTAAATAACCATGAGTCTTAAAGTCTATATTACCGTAATCGTGTTGAACTTACAGTACAAATACTGTGTCTTACTATGCAACGAGTTTATATGGATAATGATACCTGAATATGGTGATTTTTTTTAAATTTTGAGTTTGAAACGTTCTTACAATTTTAAAGACATGTTTACATCGTGAAATTATACTTTCTTTAGTTTGTGTTAAATATTTTTTCATGCAGCATACATGTACCATAATATACAGCGTGAAAAAAAAATTTGCATCTATGATTTTTTAAAAAATTAAATTTCGGGTGTTTTTATTTTTCGGTTATTGTGGTTCTCAGTCCTCTGCTTTTTTGACTCGAATATAAAATAACAATCTAAAAAATTTATTTTGACGGAGTTAAGACTGACTTCTTGTTACAAAAGGAAATATCAAAAATTGCACTATACAAATAAGTTTATGGTCAGTCCTGATTCCCTGTTATTTAAAAAAGGATTTATTTTTTGTTCAAATCCAGTACAATAGATGTAAGTGTTGTTCTCAATTGTTTTAAAACTTTTTTATATATATATATAAAAGATAGAAGTTACTTTAGACAAATAAACAAATACAAGGTTTATTAAACCACAGAGAATATTTAAAAAAACAGGCGGAAAAAAGTTATTTACATAGTACTTACGTTTTAAAATTTCGTGTTGTAGGTTGTACTATAATAAGTTTATACTATAAAAAATAATAATAATAATAATAATAATAAGTTTTCTAGGTGAAAATTTCAATTTATTAACTTTGTCGTGGAAAGACATCCAATGTCCAATGGGACATTTAATTAATGAATTACAATAGCATTGTATGTGAACTAGATTGCTTTATTATTTTTTTCAAAATATAAGTATATGATTTTGTCGTGTGATAATGTTGGGAAAAAAAAATCATGTATACATAATTGTTTTTTCAAGCAAAATTGTTATGACGCACATAATACTGTCTGTATAATGTATACAGACACTCATAACATTATTTTTAATTTATTTTGACGTCCTAGCTTTAGGAATAATAATATTTAACCAAACTATTTAACAAGTTTCAACACAAAAATTGACGTAACTGGCAATTTCACGAGATTGATTAAAATTAAATCAAACTGAAAATTTAACTGTGTAAATAACTTTTTTCATCTTAACTGGTCGCCTATTTGTATCAAAAGGGATACGAATTCGAAATTGATTTATTTTGTATAAAAAATCCAAGTGTAAGCTGACAAAATGGAAAAGTCATAACAACTAAAGTTACTTCTATCTGTTTAACTGTCTTCTTACTTTGTTAGTCATAAGGAAATCTGTAGATTCAACGAGCGTTTGTCGTTACAGACAGAATATACGAATATGAATGTGAATTTAACTATTGTTTTATTAATGACTCCCCTTTTTAATAAACAAAAGAACAATAATAATTAATAGGTACAAGACAAATGAAGGAATGAAAAGTTAGTACTTTAAATAATTGGATGCTGATAAGCAAAAAGGTGTCAATCAACATGATCATAGTTTGTTCTAAAATTTACTTATAAAATGAAAACTTTTGCTGTAGTGCTTGTTGTTGTCGAGTATATAACCAGAAATAGAGACCAAATAAGGGCAATCCATCCCTGGCAAGTCATCAGGCAAATTCTGAATCCAAGATGGCGGGCACGATTTTTCGAATAATGGCAAGTTAGGTATCGTTTTCGAGGTATTTGGGGGTGCTCATTACGAATATAGCACTTATTTGTAAATACAAGATGGTGGACACGATTTTTTTTTAAATGCAATATGGGTATCCTTTTCGAGGTATTTGGTGATGCTCAATATAAATATGGCACTTATTTGTAAACCCAAGCTGGCGGACACGATTTTTCAAAAAAAATGCAATATGGGTATCCTTTTCAAGGTATAAGGGGATGC